CTTAGAAAGAGTCATTGCAAATTCATAGGCAAGCTTTTGTGTTGTTTTAGTTGACAATCCATAGTGAAGTTTTGAGGCCCTTAAAAGATAATCTGATAAAGATGTTTCTTCTTTGTCGGTAAAGATTTGCATGGTAATGAAGTTAGGTTTGCAGACTGTATTTGGATTTAATTGACATTTCCTTACATATCTCTTAAGTGTCATTAAATTGATTCCCCTCTCTTTAGATACACGATAAACTGTACCACCATTAAGAACTGAATTAACAGCTGCTCGCATTTCATTCTCATTAATTCAAATATATATATATATATAAATATATATATATATATATATATATATATATATATATATATATATATATATATATATATATATATATATATATATATATATATATATATATATATATATATATATATATATATATATATATATATATATATATATATATATATATTGAATACTTTACAATTATATTATATAAAAGTTTTAGGAGAACAATTTACAAAATAAAAAATAGTATAAAATCTTCATTTTAAGGCTTTATTTTAGAAGAAAAACATGTATTTAAAAACAATATGAAGTATTGTACATGTTACTTTAAAAGTTAAACATTTTGTGTGTGTGTGTATGCACCTTTGATCATAGGATCAAAGGTGTATAAACGCATTAGGATCAAGGGTGCTAACCCTCTCCATTTTTACAAAAATTCTTTTTTTGTCATAGATTCTTCTATAGCTTACCAAAAATAACCATACAAGAGGTGAATAGTTAAGTTACAAAATGACATAAGCAAAATTATTCAACTTAAAAAAATATTAAAGATGTAAGGTAAAAGTCCTTGTAAAAGTAAAAAAATTACTTTTTGTTGTCAAAATCAAACTATTTAGAAATAAATTTAATAGTGGTTTATTCTCTAACCAAAACACAATTAATTTTGAAGATACAATATTTATAACATGCTGGTTATTAGCCCTCTTTAATAAGTTATGTAAGTATGGAGATAACGCTATAGGATCAAAGGTGCTTACAGATCAAGGGTGCAAGTTCTCCCCTAACACTAATTGGTGGTTGCTTGCAGCCTTGTTGGAAGCGAAGATGTTAAAAAAGTGAAGATAAAAGATTTACTGTTATTACTTAAGTTATTATTACTATTACTTTTATCATTATTACTATACAGATTACATCAATTATATGCTTAAGCAATTATATATTAACTATTAGTTAGTTGACCATAAATTTACAGTGAGAAACTTGTATTTTAAAGTTGTATTTTATTTAAAATAGAAAGTTGTATTTTATTTAAAACAGAAAGTTGTATTTTATTTAAAAAGCCTGTAGAATCTAATAGAACTTATTATAGACAATTACTTTCTTTAGGAAATTGGTTTATTCCTATAGAAGTCATATGAATCTTGTAGGAATTATATGATTTATATGGAATTATGCTATTAACCCTATAGTAGTTTTATTCTTCCTGTTTGAATCCTATGGGAACTATAGAATTGCAATTGTATTACTATAGGTATCGTATTGGTCCTATAGGAATCCTATAGAAGTTATAGGATACATATATGAATCAAAACTGAATCATATATGAATCAAAACTGAAATGCACTGGGAATCAAAAAAGTATGCCATAGATCCTATATAAATCTTATAGAACCTATAGGATACATATATGAATCTTATAGGACCTATGGGATTGCAATAGGATTCCTATAGTACCTACAGGACACCAAAATTAATTTTATTAGTCCTATAGCAATCCTATAGGACCTATAAGATTGTAATTGGATTTCTATTGCAATCCCATAGGTCCTATAGGTTTCCATAGAACCTATAGGATACCTATAGGAATCCTTGAGGAATCCTATAGATCCTACTAGAATTCTATAGGATTTATAGGATTGCTATAGGATCCTATAAAACTTTTTGACTAGGGCTTGATTTAAATTCAAGGAAAAATTAGAGCTTCCATATCTACCTGGATCGAAGCAGACTGTAAAGAAGACCTAATTTTCAGCAGAGATGAAAGACAAGAAATCTTAATTATCGTAAAAATCGTAAAAGTCCCAAATTTAGCTGTTGTCAACAATACACAAAATTTGGCTGTTGTCAACAATATGTGTATGTGTGTGTGTGTGTGTGTGTGTGTGTGTGTGTGTGTGTGTGTGTGTGTGTCTATATATATATATATATATATATATATATATATATATACATATACAGTAGCATCCAAAAGTTTGCGGACAGGCATAAAAAAATTAAATTTTATTAACATTTCAGTGCATAAACCACTTTAGCCATCATATTATATACCGATTAAAAGGTTTTCAGGTTATGTTTTGAACAAATAATGATTATTTCATTAACATTTTAATAATGGTCTACAAAATAATGATTTTTGATAAGTTTAAAAGTTTCCGGACAAACTAAAGCTTTTGACATTTTCCCCATAAAATTTGTTGGTTTTTTAAACAAATACTTTGAGGAACTAATTTACAAACTTTATTTATAAGTGATTGAGATCATGGGATTTATAATTTGTTGGACAAATTATGAAGAGATATGAGCTTACTAGATCTACTAAGAATAAAAATTAGGAAGGTCATGCAAAACAACATGTTATCAAGATACATAGCGCGTAATACTAAGCAAAGTAAATTCCTGTTTGACAGCTGGTGATATAAACAATTGAGGCGTTTCTATTGAATGAGTTGTAGTATTTCTACTATAAAACGTCGTTTACGTCATGGTAGTTTATTTGGAAGATGTCCATCTAAAAAACCATTATTTTCCTTGAAAACCGTAACAATGGCCAAAAATTCTTTTTAGTGACAAAAGCAAGTTTATGCTGTTCAGATCAGATGGAATCAGGTATGTTCGACATTCAGTAGGTACACGATACAATCCTAAATACCAACTGCATACCATAAAACATGGAGGAGGTAATGTAATGGTTTGGGGATATTTTAGCTAAGATGGAGTTGGTCCTCTCCATAGAATTACTGAGACTATGAATCAAAAAAAGTACAAAGATATATGTAAGACTGTTATGTTACCTTATGCAAAGAATAAAATGCCTCGAGGATGGATATACCAACAGGATAACGATCCCAAGCATACAGCCAAATGGGTTTTAGAGTTTTTTAAAGAGTAATGTTAATGTTTTGAATTGGCCATCCCAATCACCTGACTTATATCCCATTGAACATCTATGGAAACATGCTGATCGTCAAATGAAATGAATCAAGACTGCAAATCATGCTGATTTATTTATTAAAATCAAGGAAATATGGGACAAGGAAAAAGTTGATGTTTGCATTCATTTAGTTGACTCTATGCCTCATAGATGCCAAACCATTTTTAATTGTAAAGGATATCCTACAAAATACTAATATGATTTTGCGATTATCTAAACTTGTGATCAAATATTGTTGAAAAATCTGTTTTATTTTTAAAAAAATAAAGATTTATTTAAAGAAAATAAAGATACATACATATATATATATATATATATATATATATATATATATATATATATATATATATATATATATATATATATATATATACATATATATATATATATATATCCTTATAGTGTAGTCGAAAGAGTCGTTTAATGTAAAAATGTCTCTTTCGACTACAATTTTAATTACCTCGTCTCTTAAGCTGTTTTTGATTGTCATTGAAATGTCAAAGCAATTAATTTATGCGGAAGTACGTTAAATTTAATTGTTTTTTAAAAAATTTTTAAAACACCGCAATTATAACGACTAGAAAGTTTTTTTTAATTAGTGGTGTTTTTGTTATTGATTTAATAAAAAACATTTTTAAAACATGCGTAAATGTTGCTACATCGACTATCTTATAGCCTGACTCGCAACGGAGTGCTACTACATCGACTGACAAATAGCCTGACTCGCAACGGAGTGCTGCTACATCGACTGACAAATAGCCTGACTCGCAACGGAGTGCTGCTACATCGACTAACAAATAGCCTGACTCGCAAGGGAATGCTGCTACATCGACTGACAAATAGCCTGACTCGCAAGAGAGTGCTGCTACATCGACTGAGGGTTTGGTTTGGCCAGGCAGTCTATCAATTAAAAAAAAAAATTTAATTTTTAAAACTTTTTCTGGTCTGGTTTATTAATGCGCTCTTTAAAACTACAGTTTATGGGAAACTTTTTTTGATGCCATGCAAGAGACATGCAAGAGTATATATATATATATATATATATATATATATATATATATATATATATATATATATATATATATATATATATATATATATATATATATATATATATATATATATATATATACTCTTGCATGTCTCTTGCATTATATATATATATATATATATATTTTATATATATATGTATATATATATATGTACAAACACATTTCATACAAATACATATACATACACATGTCTGCTTATAAAAATTAAAATTTTTTTTTCTTTTTTTTAATTAATTTTTTAAATTTATCCATAGGTTTCAAGTTTCATCTGAGAATGTATTTGTGTTTGGTGGCCATGTAAAAATTAAAACGTTGGTTGAGGTTTTAATTTTTACATTAAAACCTCAACCAACGTTTGAGGTTTTAATGTAAAAATTAAAACCGCCACCAAATACAAAGAGGTTGTTGTTTAAATGATAAAAATTTGACTTGGAAACCAACAATAAAGAAGTTGTTGTTTAAATTATAAAAATTTGACTTGGAAAATTTTCTTAGGAATCATCTAGGGAAACATCAATCTTGATTTTTATAAACTATGTCTAGAATGTCTAAATACTATATTATGGAAAATTAAGCATTAAAGCTGTTTTCAATAAAAAACTTATGTGTGCAAATTTTATTACTAAAATGATATAAATGTTTTCAGCTTATTGTTATTACAGTGAATGTGCTCATAATCATTTGTCTAATGTGGTATTGTGGTGAATTATGCTTCAATAAAAAAATTTTTTTTTTTTCAGCGAATGCCTTGGCTAGCTAGCCCTGTTCAAATTGGTCTTGTTGGAGTTATGTATGTAATTATTAATAACTATTTTACTGAAACCAAATCCTAAACATCTTACAATGTTTATTATTTTGTTTAAATAAGATATTGTCTATATAAACCTGTATATATAAGTCTGTATAATCTACATAAACCTTATTAAAAGTATATAATTTTTTTCACAGATTATGTTTCGCTACTCCGATGTGTTGTGCAATTTTCCCGCAAATTAGGTATGTGTTAGATGTTTTTTTGTTTGCAATTATTGAAAAGTTTAGTAAAAAAAGCTATTTTTTTGTTATTTTTAGTTTTACATATTTGTTTTCTTTGGTTTTCTCTGTTTTTGTCTTGTTTCCTTAATTATATATATATATATATATATATATATATATATATATATATATATATATATATATATATATATATATATATATATATATATATATATATATATATATATATATATATATATATATATATATATATATTGGCCTCAGTGGGAAGCTAAACTCTCCTCTAAAACAGTTAATGGGAGCAATTTACGACTCTCGCAAAAGTAAAATTTTTCTCTTAAAAGTTTAATTATCATTGCAACTAAAATGAAAAATGCAGTTATTTTTATTCAAAAAAAAAAAAAAAAAATTATTGTGTAATAACCTGTGATGCTTTTTAAAAGGCATGCTTGTTGCAACAATTAAAAGTTCCACTTTTATTGTGGAATTTTTAATTGTTGTAATAACTCTTAAAATGCCTACGTTCTATTGTAATAAGAAAATATGAAGTATTTTTTATAAGCAGTAAAACTTTTATGATTTACATGTTTTCATTTATTTATATCTCTTTGTCAAATTATTTATGAAATAAGTAATGTTGTTAATAAAGAAATGGATAGCGAGTGTGAAAACCCGAAGACATTACTTTTCTAAAGAATTTTTTCACGGCGCAATAAATGACGTTTGTTATGTATATTATGGTTACGACTTTTTGACTTTTTGAAAAAAATTAATTTCCTGTGTCATAAATCGATGAACTTTTATTAGAAAACATTAAAAACATGTTCAATTCCTTTCACCCTGTAATTCAAATTGTTTCATCATTTATTCAATCTCGTTACTGCTACTACTAATACGTGTGGTTTTCCTGCAAATCATTTAAAACTTGTATAGATTAGAAGTGTTTAGAATTTTAGAACATGTTTAGAAATTTTAGAACATGTTTAGAAAATTTTAGAACATGTTTAGAAATTTTAGAACATAGAAGTGTTTAGAATTTTAGAACATTTTGGAAAATACTAGAATATTTTAGAAGACTTTAGAACATTCTAGAACAATTTAAAATATTTTGGAACATTCTAGAACAATTTAGAACATTCTGAAATATTCTAGAACATTTTAGACTATATATAGCTATTCATCTAATTTTATAGTTATTACAGATGGCGTTGTACAAGCCTAGCGATAGTAGCATTCAGAAGAACAAGGATGTCTGGACCAAAAATCTGGTTAAATTTGAAGACTCATGAAAGAAGAAGAATAGTCCCTTTGGAAGAATATTCGCTGGAAGAAAAGTGCAGAATGCCTCTCCAAAAGCAAATTATTGGACGCTACTATTTCCATGGACCAAAAATCAAAGGAAGAAAGTTTCAAAGAAGTCACCAAATTGTGGAAGAATAAACTGAATTTTTCTCATGTATCTGATCAAGTTATACGAGCAAAGCTTGATAAAATACTGAAATGTTATGATGAATGTGTCAAGCAGGGAAACTACAAACCCCTTGATGAATACTCTACAGGCCGAGCGGCCAGTAAAGAAAAGATCCATTCCTCTAAAAGACAAAAATTTTCTAATGAGTCATCCAACTCATCATCTTACTATCCTGGTTTTAATGATTCTGACTCTGAGGCTGATGACTGAGTATGAAAACAATGAATAAGATGAGACAACTCCTACACCAAGCAGAAAGCATCATAAAAGCGAAATTGCAGTCAACTTGGTGACCTCCACAAGAGTATCAACAAACAAAGCTGCTAACATATGCAAGCAATTGGCTAGTGAAGGCATTGACATCCCAACTCCATGTCAATCAGTTATTTACAAGTCAACAATCAAAAAGGCAATCTTGCTGAAGAAAAAAATAATTTTATATGGAAAGTTGGTCCTTACACTTTGATGGTCCTTACACTTTAACATCGACAATGGATTATCAAGTGGTTGTCCTTAAAAATGAATAAAGAGAAATCAAATTGGATGTCCTTGGCTTGGTAGATGGCAGGGCTTTAACTATTGCTCAAGGAATTTCTAAAGTCTCAATGAAATTCACCTATGGAATTCAATATAGATGATTGTTGCAGATACCACTAGCGTTAACACTGGAAAAAAGAATGGTGTTGTTGTAATATTGCAACGAATGTTCACAGAGAAACGCATCAACAAACCTCAGTTTACCAGTTGTCAACACCATGTATTAGACAGAATCCTCTGTTTGATGATAGATGAAGAACTTGGAAGTAAAACACAATCGCCAAACATCGAACATCCATTTGTATCTCAACTGTTGAAGGAGTACCAACAACTGAAAACACAGTTTGATAACGGAACAGAAGTAGTTCTTGAAACATCAGGGTGGAGAGATAATATGAAAATTTTTTTCATCTCACTCGAGTGTTCCAATTTTTTGAGAAAAAGGGACATTTTCCATTGATTAGGTTTCAGAAAATACCCAACATTAGCAATGCAAGGTGGAACTCCAGAGCTATACTAGCGATCCTGGTCTTCATATTTTAATTCCTTTAACATGGACAGTTCTGCAGAGAGATGTCAATGTATATCGTATGGCTGGGCAGACCATTGGTTTACAGATCAACTGTACAACAAATAATAACTTGGCTGAAATACTGAATCCATACAAAAAGGCTTTAAGCTCATTGAAAAATCACTGGAAGCGAGAGCCATCCATACTACAGAGACCCAGAAGTAATCAATGCGCAGAGCGTGCAATCAAAGTAATAGAGGAAATTTATTCATCATGCAAAAATAAACATAAATTACACCTTCGATTCCTTCTGTACAACAAGCAAGAGTAACGTCAATGGTCTAAGTCATTGTTGGATTGAAAATTTATTGCATTACATGACTATGACATTCTAAATACATTTGAATACAAAGTAGTACTTATGCCAAAATCGATTTTTCAATGGCGGGGTGACTTTTTTTTGAAAAGATATGCAAATAATAGTTCATTTCTTGCTTTTTAGGTAAAAGTTCATCAAACTACAGTGCAGGAGCATGGAGTTGATAAAAAGTCATAACCCTAATGTATATTTTCTTGTAACATTAATGTTACAAACATATGCTTGTAACAAGTATAAAACCAAATTTTGTATTTAAAAAGCAACTTTTTTAATGAATAATTAGATAGCTTGTGCTAAAACCAAAAGTTCTCGTAAGAAGCTGTTTAGAGGAGCAGCTCGCATGGCTTGCCATGTTTGTTTTAGGAGAGCTTTTTCCGAAAATTAATAAATTAATCAAAAGTATTAAAAAGAGTTGATTTCCTTCTGGACAAAACAAGTGCAACTCCACAAAATGTTGACCAAGCTGTATTTCGCTAACAATATTTCGTGGCAAATCCTTTGTTCTCGATTACAGAATTGCATCTTCGAGGCATAGATTTGATCAGGTGATCAATGAAACTTTGTGGAATCGCTGCCCAAGCCTTTTGAATTTGTTCAAACAGTTGATCCTTATTATGAACACCTTCACAATTAATTCTGCAGTTGACGATCTCCCACAGGTTCTCAATAGGGTTGAGATCCGGAGATTGAGGCAGCCAATCCATCACCGATAGGTGGTTGTCTTGAAACCAATGCTTGACTACTTTTGCAGTGTGTTTCGGATTGTTGTCTTGCTGAAAAACCCATTTTATTGGCATATTTTATTCAGCATGAGGTAACATAACATCTTTGAGGATATTTTTATACATGAAACGGTCCATTATTCCATCGTTTGGATGTATTGGACCTAGACCGTTAGCAGAAAAACACCCCCAGACTATTACATTGCCTCCACCATGCTACACGGTCTTATGGCAGTAACGTAAATTGAGGCATTTTCCGGCCGGTCGACGTACACAGCAAATGCCATCGCTCCCAATGATGTTGAACTTCGATTCATCACTGAACAGGACAGTTTGCCATTACTGCACATTCCATTCAATATGAGGTGTAGCAAACAGGAGTCTTTTCTTCTGGTTCTTAAGTGAAATCAGCGGTTTCTTTGCAGGGCATCGAGAAAATAATCCGGCTTCAACAGCACGTCGTTTGATTGTTCGATACGATACAGGCAGCTCTAATTGCTTTTGTATCTCAACTGATGATATTCAGGGGTCCTTCTTGACGGATCTGACGATCATAGAATCCTCTCTAGAAGTGGTGGAACGTGGTCTTCCACCTTTATTATCTGCTGCCAACTTTCCCGTAGAACGATATTTGGAACATAGTCTTGATACGGTCCTTTTTTTCACGCGATATTTATCACAAATACTTTTTTGTGATATTCCACTTACGTAATCGCCAATAATTTTCTTTCTTAGTTCCAATCCAAGACTGTCGGGAGCCTTTTTTGCACTTGAAGTCATAAAAATAATAAAAATAAATAATCACACTTCTCAAGGCTTACCGTGATACAATAATGCTCTGTGGAACACAACGTCTTGGTTGGATGTGGACTGTATTGATGTAATGAAACACTTGTTGTATTTAACTTCTTGTATTGATGTTCTTCGATTAAACACTTTGATAAAACACACTTCGATAAACTGTCTTGATAATACTGACTGATTGACTTCCATATACTGACTTAATTACATGTCGGTTTACATGTCTCATAGTAAAATGAACCTGTGTGAACCTGTTCTTGAAGACTCTAGATGCTTCTTTTCGATGGTTCTGGATGCGTCTGGATGCTTCTAAATGTTTCTAGATACTTCTGGATGCTTCCAGATGCTTCTTCTGGAAACTTATGGAAGCTTCTGCATGCTTCTGGAATCTTCTGAATACTTCCTTTAATAATTAAAAAACTTCCGTGACGTTGACACGGACCAGACTTAAGAAAATGAAACAAACCAAAAAAGTTGTTTTGTTCGCTGCAAAATGGCACTTGTCAACGAAATTCTGCCTGTGTGCTGTCACCTGTCAGCTAATTGCTCATGTCATGGCATGCTATGACTCCAGACTCCTGAACTGTTTGCTGTGGTAGTGTAGTTCGTTTCGTTTTTAAGACGTAAAATTAGGAACACTTTTTAGCATTGTTCGATGTTGGTTGCAAATGTTTTGTCCAATACTGTATATATATATATATATGTATATATATATATATATATATATATATATATATATATATATATATATATATATATATATATCATTTGTTTTTTTTATATATATATATATATATATGTATATATATATATATATATATATATATCATTTGTTTTCTTTATTTTTCTATTTTTTCTTTATGCGTTCTTTCTTTGTTATAGTTCTTTAACCATCAATGATTTGGAACTTCCACTTCAAGAATCGATTGCTAAAAATTGGAAAGGCGTCGATAAAGTGTACTTTAATAAGGGTTTATAGACATTTTTATGATCATTTTTTCGGATAGAATTTTTTAATAGATTATTTAATTGTTTTGGTTTTTTTTAATTTTTTCATTTTACATCTTTTTTTAGATTATTTTTAAAAATAGTTGTAAAAGAAAAGTTAGATTATAAATACATTACATATAATTAATAACAAATAAATACATAACATATAATTCACATTATTTCTGGCAGAAACTCGTAAAATAGTAAATTACTTGTAGGGTTGATGTGATCGGCTACACATAAGTTAGTTTTAGTAATTATGACAACATTCCTAACATGTATTAAATGCTAACATGAAATTGTTGGACGTAACTTCTATGTAATACAAACTGATTTCAATAGTATAACTTATGTTAACAACAAAGTTTTATTTTGTTGTTAATTACAAACAAAGTTAATTGGAAGGAATAATGTCTTAAAAAAAAAAAAATTTTTCTGAACATACAATAATCGCAAGATTTCACAGAAAATCTACATATTATTTTTAAATGCAAGTTTTAACTTGATTAACCAATCGTATTAATGTAACTTGATTTAACCTGAATTGGTTTTCTTCAAAAAAAATAATCAGAAAACAAGTTAATAATTGAGTTAGTAGCCTGTAAAGTGCCTACAATCAATAAATATTATCAAATGCATCAGTATAAAGCAGTATGTGTATTTGCCGTTAACGCTGTATTAAATTCTTTATTCAAACGTACAAGGTATCTAGACAACTCTAGTTCCTTTAGGATTGCTTGATAATAGTGATGCAATCAAAGAAAAGAAAAAATAGCTGCTGCAATATTATTATCTTCAAAACTAAAGTATTTAGAATTAAGGTGGTATCCAGCCATTAGTTCTATTTTTTTATATTTTACACATAATAAATACCTATGATGAATTACTAGCATAATAGATAAAAATCTCAAAAGTAATGCATTTTTTTTTTTAAATTAAAAAAAAATAATTGCTGACTCAGCAAAAAAAGGTGAAAATGTTAACGTCACAAGAACATAAATATCTTAAGAATAAATCAATATTAAAGGTTTAAATTTTACAGAAAGCTAGTACACTAGTGTAGCTAGTGCCTGAACCAAAAATTTTTGAAAAAAATTTAAACAATCAAAAATGGCAGACTTAATGATATAAAAAACTATTTTTAGCGATAAAACACTAATTAGATATGGTAATTGTAGGTTAAGCTTAATTTTTTTTAATGTTTTTTCAGGTTCAGGCACTAAAAACATCAATAATGAACATATCCTGAAAATTTGAAGCTAAAATAATGTTTTTTTATTGAGATATCATTGTTTTGCTACTGCTACCCGTACAAAAAACAAAAATTGAGAAAAATCAATTTTAAAATTATAAATCATGTATACTACTCAGATAAATCATTAAGGTGGTAGCAGGGTAAAAACGCTTTTTTTTAAAAAAGTCAAAATAATTCAATATGCTTTATTGTAATGAAAAATACTATTAAAAAAAAAAACTAACACTATTTGCATAAAAAATTAATAATGACGTCATCAATTGTACACGTCATGAACAGATTTTTGCCTTAATTTTATATGTTTCTTCCAACAAGGATAACTTAATGAAAAATGATCAGAATCACTTTTAATTTTCTAATTGCAATCTTTATTAGTAATACTATGTTCTGAGCGAAACAGAAAATAATTTTTTTTTTTTAAACGCGCCAGGTTTACTGTCAAACTTCAAATTTCAAAAAAAGTAAAATATGTTTATGTAAAAATAGCACTGCTGGCTATGTTTTTATAAAAATTTAAAAAGTGCTTCGCTCAGAACACTCTAAATAGAACAATGTAACACCAAAAAAAAAAATTCAGCTTAGTAGCTTTATCCAATCAAAAGTTATCTTTGTTAAAAGACCACAAAAATTGTGAAAAATTAAAGGCAAGAAAAACCTTAAAGAAAAAAATAAATAAAATTAAATGAAACAATAAAACTCAAAAACCAAATTAAAATGCTCCACTAGCATATGTCTCTCCTTCCTTAAGTTCATTTTTATCATTATGACCTTTTCTAGATGAAAGAAGTTTCTTTCTTCTTTTTTTTACTGAGCTAGTTGACTTTTTCTCAGATTGTTTGACACGACAAATACCAGATAATCTAAAACCTTCTTTAGTGAAATACCCATTGTCTATGCCCAGTTTATTAAAAACTGGAAGCAGTCCTTGGGCACCGTCATTGTATGCAATAAAAGCAGATGCAACTGCAGTTTTAAAAACATCATTTCCAATGTATACCCTTTTTGGGCACTGTCTCCATATCAAATTGTTCAAAGACTCATTGACATTCTGGGTCTTACCGTGTAAACATTTTGTCAGAAGCTCATCACTACCAAGACCTCTATGAGAAAATATTGGAGCAATAACATCAGAAACAGCTTTATGAATATTAACTTTTTCTTTATATGTTTTTGCTCCTGTGATTTTATCACTTTGGTATCTGCACCAAGAACCAGAGCTACGTGGACAGAACTGATGTCGGTTTTCTAAATTTGGCTCATCTGTTGCGTGGTGTAAAACCGCAGCAACAGCCTTTTTCATCCCATACAGGTTGCCACTATTTTGTTGTATGGCCATTCCAACATGGTTTTGAAGAGTGTTTATGACTTTAGTAGTTAGCCGACCTTTCCCTCCCCCAATGCTTTTACCATCAGTCAACTTTTTTCCCTTGTAATCGGCTTTAAGTTTACGCAGTCGTGTTCCAACACGTTTTTGGACATGTCCTATACATTCTCCTTTGGTAATGCTATGACCTGGATCTGATTTACATATTACATATGATGGATCTGATTTACATATTTCTTCAAAGGATTTTGTATCACCATCTCCAATAAAAAATGTGTATCTTAGACAATGAAAACGTACAGAACGTGCAAACATTTTTTTCATTCCTACAACTTCCATAGCTCCAGCACTGCCAATGTGATTTATTGAACATACATGAGTTTCTTTCCAGTTATTATATGCATCTACATTCACTTTTTTTAGTTCCCACATTTCACATTGTTTACATTTTTTAGATAACACTTCAGTATCGATGCATTTCCCCTCCGAAATTAGTGTAACTACTCCATTCAAGGAAGAGTATCCTCTTTTTTGCCAAGCACCGTCACCACTAACTTTAGCGTCAATAACAACAAAATCATCTACAGTTTTGTTAAAATGTATTTGTTTGGAGTCTTCTTTCATTGACTCTTGTGCTGTTTGTACGTAGGCATTATGCAACTAACTATTAATTTCATTATATGTTGTTTTGGCCATTGGTGATGGCATATTCATGCAAGAACAAAATGTTTTTATTGCACTAAAACCTTGACCGATCTCTCTAAATGCAGCAATTGTTTGTATATTAATTTCAAAACTTTTTTTTTTGGAAGTAGACTTAAATTTACTGCACTCTTTTGAAGAACAAAATGTTATTTTCCAATTACATTCGGTGCATGAAATATTAAAAAACTGGGCAAGACCCATTTTATTTGATAAAATATGTTCAATGTCTATTGTTGCAATACAAACAGGGCATCGTCCAACTATATTAATAAGAGACATAAAAAGATCACTGTCTATTAAAAAATTGCATCCAGGGGTGGCAATTGGAGTATGATTATCAGAAAATGAAACATTTAATTTTTTTTCCAGACGCTGATTTTAAATCAGATTTATTTTGACTGAGTTCATTGTTTACTGTTGTTGATGTATTGTTCATCAGTTCATTGTTTACTGTTGTTGATGTATTGTTCATCAGTTCATTGTTTACTGTTGTTGATGTATTGTTCATCAGTTCATTGTTTACTGTTGTTGATGTATTGTTCATCAGTTCATTGTTTACTGTTGTTGATGTATTGTTCATCAGTTCATTGTTTACTGTTGTTGATGTATTGTTCATCAGTTCATTGTTTACTGTTGTTGATGTATTGTTCATCAGTTCATTGTTTACTGTTGTTGATGTATTGTTCATCAGTTCATTGTTTACTGTTGTTGATGTATTGTTCATCAGTTCATTGTTTACTGTTGTTGATGTATTGTTCATCAGTTCATTGTTTACTGTTGTTGATGTATTGTTCATCAGTTCATTGTTTACTGTTGTTGATGTATTGTTCATCAGTTCATTGTTTACTGTTGTTGATGTATTGTTCATCAGTTCATTGTTTACTGTTGTTGATGTATTGTTCATCAGTTCATTGTTTACTGTTGTTGATGTATTGTCAGTTAAAGCTCTTCTGGTAAATCCTTTCCTATTTCTTGATTGTAATTTTTTATATCTTTTTTCAGAACCCATTCCAAGTAATAATAGCTTTATTAATCAAAAAATATATATATATATATACATTTTAACTGAAGAATATAAGAATCTATAACACAACCTTTATTTAGAAGCTCTGAGTTGAGAACGGTTTTTGAGGCTTCAGTGTATAGCTTATAAACTGAATAAACAGAGATATTTAAAAGAATAAAAAGAAGCCTTTTAAGTAAAAACTAGATGTTTTGATCAGGTTTTAATCCAGAGATATTTGAAAAAAAGCGTTGCTAAGGCGGTTGCTATGGCCTAAGAACTTAAATACCTTTATCTAGAAGAGTAAATTTTTTATAAATGCATAAGTTTTTTTTAAATAAAACCAAGTTTCCACAAAAAATAACACCCTAAATATCTCAAAAATATAGTTTTTGAAATTTTCAAAAAATTACAAAAAACGCCTCTTTTTCACCCTGCTTCCACCTTAAAAACCACCAGCACAATAATCTTTTGCAGTTTCTTTATCTAATTTTTGTCCAAAATAGTTTCTTCTAACAGATCTTAATTTTTTTCTCTTTTTTTTTTGTTTCATCTGACATTTTTTTGTTCATTTTTTTAGCCGTATAGAGTTTTTTTTACTTGCACCAATTTCAAAGTAACTACCAGATTTAATATTAAGAGCATCAAATACAGAAGATAACTTAGCAAAGCCATCATTATAAGTAATGGTTGCAGAGTAAACAGCCATTTCAACAACAACTTTAGAGGTGAATATAGTTTTAGGGG